TCTTCACTGATTTCTGACACTATTGGAGCGCAGGGAGCACCTTTACAACCTGTTCAGACAGTCATTCCGTCAAATTGGGAGACAAATTCAAGATCGATAGGCACCACGCTTTGTTCAATACGTTGACATTTGGCGCACCTCGTTGGACATTGAGACGCGGTTGCGCGTCTCACCCTTGTCATCCCTTTTTCTAGCGTATGCGGGGATTCTTCCCAATTTGCTTGTCTCTATTCTATGGATTACAACATAACATAACTGTAAACGACATGGGTCACGGTATGATCAAATATGCTCCAGTTTAGCAGAAGTTTTTCAAGCACAGCGGAATTGGCAGCTCGGTTCATTCCTCGTTTTCTTCCTATTCTCATGAACATGTCAGTGAGAAAAGGGTAGTGAAAGTAAATACAAACTTAAAGGGATAGAAAAATATGTTTCACTTGACACATCCACATCGAAAATAGTTTTGGCATCCACTACAGAGAAAAGGACTGAAGGTTCCTTTTTCATTACCATTACACGTTCTTTTGATCGGAATTTCGCCACTATATCCTCGATTACCTTCTACGCATTGAATATTGCTGAAATGGTTTTGTACCACTGGTGCTTTCCAAAGTTATCATTCAAAAATTTACGGATCCGAGGTGCGGCGGTCGCACTCGCAAAATCGGCCCGGTCCCACACGGCCAAAAAAGCCAAAACGCGCGCTGTCGTCAATGTGTTAAGAATGGGCTTTCTCAACGTTCTGTCAAAAAAACCGGTTCAGTTTGAAGTTACAAGGGTGAACAGGAATGAGCTTCCGAAAACGGACTTCATGCAGGTATGCAGACAGGTTAGCAGGCACTTCTTTACCGGGAAAAAATTGGAAAAAGTTCATACTATTTTTCCAACCACTGAGAGCCAAAATATCGAACTGACCACTGAAAACTGTTGTTTGAAGGCAGTGCGCGACAAATTGGATGCTGAAGAAGAGATTATATGCCTACCAAAAGGGGACGCCTGGTCTTAAGAAAACAACAGGCGGTTTTGGAAAAGGTACACTCTGGCATGAGGGAGGTCGAACCCGTCCTTACAGACAGGTCAGTGAGTGATCAACCGCCCAAGAGGCGCAGTTTTGACGGGAATTGTTAGGATAAAGGGAGGCGAGCGTCTTAGATGTATTCTTGTTTGTAGTAGCCCACAAGGAACAGCCTAAGCTGCACCTCACCCATCCCGACTTAAGCCATCGCACCAACGTCGTCGCCAAAGGCCCGAGGACTCAACCACCGGGACCTCACCCACTCTCGTAATCCTGTTTTGGTTTTATTATATTATTGAAAGCCGTTTTTTGTGTTCTTAATTGTTGCTTCGCTGTTCTGATGAATTTTGTGCCGATACTTTTATGGCATCCATTTCAAGCGGAAGTATCCTCTGCCTTTCCTCTCTATCGCCGTTTCAACTGAACCTTGTTTTTTTGACATGATGACTGCTGTCGAGGTAAACGAGCGAACCTCCGTCCAGGTTTCTGACTCGTTCAGAGCGAAAAATCCACCAAACAGAATGTACTGCTCCTTGCCCACCTTTGTTTTACCTTGCTAACTTTATACCTCTTAAAGCACGCTCTACTTTGACTTCCAACAGAAAATGGTAGCTTCTGCCGCATTATAAACACTTCCCAAAGCTGACAGCATGAAATAATAAGGGAGTATTTCAGCTTGGAAATGTAATTATTATTCTGGCTCTGCCAATAAAAACTTTCGCTTTTTCATGGTAACGGAACTTTTATGCCCTCCAAACGCGATCACGACGATGTTTCTGTTAAACGATGAAAGATTAAGCACGAAAGATGCAGCAAGAAACAACGAACTAACTTTTACTTTTTTGTCCAGGTGTTCTTGCTTATATTTTCATTGAACATGTGAACACCTCCAGCCCCGTCCTGTTGCGACAGGTAAAATTACCAGAGTAACCGCAACCCTCATGAAAGTAGACACAAAAAACCTTGTTCACACATATCGCGTTCGTTAGGACCGTGGCAGCTCCTTAACCCTCCCTTTTAAGGCCATGGGGAAGGTCAATAAAGAATGTGCACATGAAAAAAAAGATGGTATTCAATGGAGCTTACCTCTGCGATTATAGGGACCTCCATACAGTGAATGAACGTCATGAGGTTACTGCATCGATCGAAAATTTTTTGGTGTAAATCATGCCCTGTTTCAGCTTTCGAAAATATTGTTATGTATTACAAGACATGGCAAGACTTTCAAAGAAAAGTCTACTCACCAATTCACGTAAGTCATGACCAGAGGAAAACGCTGGGCCTTCCGATGATATTATGACTGACCGCACCTATAATAAAGATGGCAACGATAAATTAAACGATCAAGATATCACAACGAAAAGCAACCTTTGAAATGGAGTTTATTTCTTTCAGCTCTTTGCTGAGTTCTTCAATCATATCCAATGAGAGTGCATTGCGTCGCTTTGCATCCTTCAAAATCAGGCGGACGACTGATTCGCCCTACAATTACGATTTCGGAATTGAATGCACAAAAACTTGGTGGAAGCACTAGCAATTGCCATGTTTGTCCATTGTCAGGAATATTGAAACCAACGCTTAGATGCTAACAAGAAGTGGAAGGATTCTTTCAGAAACACAACTTGGACTTACTCTGTGCTTCACGATAAGGTGAAAAAATAGTATATATAGTGAGCGGCATAAGAGAGAAATCTGGATAATTAGCGAGCTGAACACCTACCTACTCTCTACCGAAAAAAATTCGCATAGGCGACTGGATAAAAAAAAACAGCAAAGAGCGAAATCAAACCTATGGATTAAAAACTCATGGTGGCAGACCCTCAGGCGATATTGATCGCTCCATGCCACCACTATAACCGTTCATAGTAATTGTGCACTTTTGATTACCGATAGTGCCGCCTTCACCACCAACCTTGTATGGGTTAAAGTAGGCCAACTTCACTACTGGTTTGAGCTTGTTTCTGCACTCAAACAGAACGTTTCTATTCAATGAGGAGTTACGCTGAAGAAGCCTTTTCCAGCTGGGCCTGTGTTGTAAGGACATGCTCTCGAGTGCTGATGAGCCTGCATTCTAAAGCAAATCTCCGTTGCTATGAGGACGTTTTAGAACTACGGGACTTTCCAAAATCAGAGCTGGAGTGTACAGGGTGGGGGGGGGGGCAAAAAAAGACATTTTGCCTATGTCGGACTTCGGCTTTTTTCTTCGCAGAGATTGCCGTCGTTGACGGGAGTTCCTCAGCAGAGTATTCCCTAAGTGTTCCTCTATAGTGTACGCAGGCTCTCCTTCACTGCCCTCACCGTCTTCAGAATATGACGTCATCTGTCACCGTCGTCAGGCTCAAGGAGGTCTACCGTAAGAGCTTCAGCCTGAAGCTCTCACAATTTCTTGAAGACTAACGTTGGATAATTTCCTAAAGACATTATCTCTGACTATCAAACCCGCTGTCAATCAGCACTTCAGAGAAAACGTCGTAGGTAGACGATTTCCCATAGAGGCTTTTGCATCATATTTCCGAAGTAGACTTCGGATTTCGTCCGTTATTTCGAAATACGGAATGCACTCTATTATTTGAAGTTGGCATATGGTTTGATTTTTAAAAGTGTGATTAAAACCATTTGAATATGGAGACAAAATGTTTTTTTTTATTTCCACCTATCCCCCGGGTTGTTTTCACTAGGACAGAAGGTGACTTTTTCGCGGTATAAAATGCGAAAAAGTCACTTTCCCGTACTAGTGAACCACACCCCAAGCAAGAGCCAATCAGAAGGGTGGTCGAAAAAAATTCCAACGCGCGAAAGCTCCAAAAGGTGATGTACAAGATAAGTATGAGAAGGGCAACCTTTAAGTGCTGATAACGCATCATGAGGGCATACCACTATAATTGCCCCGAAATCTCAAAATTTCAATTATCGTTGACACTTTGCCTTTTGAAGTATTTTGATGCCCTGATTACGAATACGGGTGCTATACAAGTAGGGTGGGCACGCCGCATTTTTTGAACAGAAATGTATGTAAGTGGGACTGCTGCCCGCTACTATACTGTCACGAGAATCGGGGAATTCGTGAGCCAGGGGGAGTGTAGCCAATCTAGGGGGTGGGGGTGAGGGCAGTCACTTGACATGCGTGAAAAGCTGGGCGTGCCCACCCCACTTGTATAGCACCCGTATTCGTAATCAGGGCATCAAAATACTTCAAAAGGCAAAGTGTCAACGATAATTGAAATTTTGAGATTTCGGGGCAATTATAGTGGTATGCCCTCATGATGCGTTATCAGCA